TATTTTTGTCTTCAGGCTGGAATATATGTTTCATATATTCATATATTTCCTGTATTTTCACTTTTTAAGAAACAATTTTCTTCATCTCCCCTTTGGTCTACATGCAAAAGCTACAAGTTAATTTGGAATAAACAACAGAATCACAGGAAGATACATTATGATGCACCCCCAGAGAATTTTACATAAATAATTTTAGATCAAAGAGTATCTTCTACTATATCCAGTAATAATATTATCTTACACTTCATAGTACTTTACAATTCAAGGTACTTTTCCATACATTATCTAGTTTAACCCTAAAAATAACCCTGTTACAGACATTTTTAAGTGTAATGAAAAATCCTTAGAAGGATAAAGCAACTTTCTTAGAGATAGCAAATGGTGAAACAGAAATACAANCTTCCTTCCTTCCTTCCTTCCTTCCTTCCTTCCTTCCTTCCTTCCTTTCCTTCTTTCTTTTCTTTCTTTCTTTTTGAGACAGAGTCTCACTCTGTCCCAGGTGCCAGGCTGGAGTGCAGTGACGCGATCTCGGCTCCCAGTTTCAAGCAATTCTCCTGCCTCAGCCCCCCGGGTAGCTGGAACTACAGGCGCACACCACCACACCCAGCTAATTTTTTTTTTTTGTATTTTTTTATTAGACACGGGGTTTCACCATGTTGGCCAGGATGTTTTCGATCTCTTGATCTCGTGATCCGCCCCCGTTGGCCTCCCAAAGTGCTGGGATTACAGGCTTGAGCCACCACTCCCGGCCTAAACCTGGGATTTCTTACCATTCATCCATTTTTACTACAGTTTTTCATTGTTCTCAGAAGAATGGCTCAAAGTTTCCCTTGTTACCCACCACCCATTGCAGACATGATACTGTTACAGATGCCTAATGTAAATACATCCTGCAGAAATTGAAGATTACTAAATTCCTATCACTTGAGCTAAATTAACTTTCCCAAGGTCTTATATGGAAGGTAAATTATCATAGTTTCTAAATAAGTAGAAAATAAGGCTTTTTCTTTCAAAATATGCATGAGCTAGAATAAGAATCAGCAAACTCTTTCTGTGAAGGGCAAGATGGTGAATATTTTAGGCTTTGTGGGCTAGTCTCTGCAAAACTACTCAACTCCATTGTAGCATGAAAGCAGCCTTAAGCAATATGTAAATGGATGGACATGGTTGTGTCCTAATAAACTTTATTTATAAAAGCAGGAGCAGGACGGATTTGGCTCATGGGCTGTGGTTTGCCTGATCTAGAAAATGCCACTTCCATTCACTCCAGAAAGATGGAGAGTAAGATCTAGGTTGTCCTTACTGAAGCACCAAGAGAAACACATAGCAGAGAGAAGTGAATATTCTTATATGTTAGGGTTTGGTTTTGTTGTCATTTTATATAGGAAAGGGGTTGAGGAGGGGCTGATCTGGTAACTCTGCAAGCCTGTATTCTCTAAGCTGTATGACAGAAAATACTATTCTTGCCTCTGGCTAGAGGCATAGCCAGAGAGATATAATGGCATATATCCTGTAATTCCACACATTCCTCCTGGTTTCTTATGTATTGTTCTGGGAGCCAGTGGGTACACAAAGATGAGGACAGCTCACTGGCAACCTTCCAAAAGTTCACTGTCTGGGGTAGGGATAGGAGAGGAGGTAATGAGGACAGACAAGTGTGCAAAAAAAAAAAAAAAAAAAAAAAAAAACACCCCAGACAAGAGACACAAACTAACTGCAGACCTTATCAACATTCAAAAGATAAATGTGGGTTTCCCTGGAGATTGTAAACCTAACTCCAAACTTGGAAGCTGCAAAGTTTGGAAAAAAAAATCTACATCCAAAAAAAAAAAAAAACTGCAAAGAAAAATGTGGAAAACACTAGTAAGGAAGTGTTTCAAAAGTATACTAGGAAGACAAAGGTAAGGGAAATGAGCTTTGTCCTGGGTGAGTAGGGTGGCATGACAGGAGAGGATGACATCCCGCCAGGCCATGAGGAATGTGAGGATCCCAAAAGGACCTGCTGGAAGAATAAGTCAGGAAGAAGAAACTGTCGGCATATGGGTACATAGATGCAGGGCGTGTGCAGAAAATACCATAATCCCCCTTACCTAGGGCATGGGACAGGTGAGGGGACAGAAAGGGAGAAGTGGGAGCTGGAAATCCAACCAAACCTTCCTGAGGGCCTGAAAGGTGAAGCTGGGTATTGAGATTTTTATTCCACAACATAAAAGAGCCTGAGTTGTTTTGAGCAGACACATAAGCAAGACCAGAACTGAGCTTTACCTAGAGAATATCACCAGTAGTGCTGGGAAAGCTAGGTTCACTATATGAACCTCTAAGAACTCCAGAGCAACACTGTCTAAGAGAAATATAATGTGAACCACAAATGCAAGCCATATCTGATATCTGTGATTTTAAAATTTCTTGTTAGCTGCAATTTTAAACAGTAAAAAGAAACAGGATTAGTCGTAATAATATCATTTAGTATAATTTCTCCAAAACATGGTTTCAATGTATAATCAATATAAAAATGATAAACGAGACATTTTACATTCTTTACCTCACACTAAGTCTTCGAAATCCAAGGTATATGTTACACGAAGAGAAAATCTCAGTTCATATTTGCAGGATCGTAGCTAGTGGGCACCGTATAGGACTGCACAGGTCTAGAGCCTAAGAGAGAAGAGGCCTCCAGGAAGGGACTATAGGCGTAAGGTGGAGGTGAGATCAGAGGGTGGTTGTTTGAGGATGCCTGGCTGTTTATTTCACCAAGTCCCCTTGTGCCCCAAGCTCTTTTAGAATAGCCATCATGGGAATAATTGCTGTGCCTTTACAAAATAAACTGTTCATAAAATTCTATGCAAACTCAGAAAATACTGTTCTGTCTAAAGGTAGGTAAATATTAAGGTAAGTAAACTCTCAGACACTGTATACTTGTCAGGGTTCTCTAGAGGGACAAAACTAATAGGACAGAGGCATATATAAAGCGGAGTTTATTAAGGAGTATTGACTCACAGGATCATAAGGTCCCACAACTGTCCATCTGCAAGCTGAGGAGCAAGGAAGCCAGTTGAAATCCCAAAGCTGAAGAACTTGGAGTCCAGTATTTGAGGGCAGGGAGCATCCAACACAGGAGAAATATGTAGGCTGAGAGGCTAAGCCAGTCTAGTCTTTTCACATTCTTCGCCCTGCCTTCATTCTGGCTGCACCGACAGCTGATTAGATTCTGTCCACCCAGATTGAGTGTGGGTCTGCCTTTCCCAGTCCACTGACTCAAATGTTAACTCCTTTAGCAGCATCCTCACAGACACAACCAGAAACAATACGTTTCATCTTTCAATCCAATCAAGTTGACACTCAGTATTAACCATCATAGTTTATATTACACTGGTTATAATATGGCATCTCAACCTTAATATTTTTCAACTGAAAAGACTCTTAACTATTATTTTATAAAAGCTTCCAATTTTACAAATGGTGGAGACTCAGTATCATTCAACTAGCTATTACTCCTGGGACTCCCTCCCCAATTTTCTTCCCTTTTTCTTTTCTTCCTTTCTTTCTTTTTTTTTTTTAAGATGGAGTCTCACACTGTCTCCCAGGCTGGAGTACAATGGTGCAATCTTGGCTCACTGCAATCTCTGCCTCCTGGGTTCAAGCGATTCTCCTGCCTCAGCCTTCCCAAGTATCTGGGACTACAGGTGCCTGCCACCATGCCCAGATAATTTTTATATTTTTAGTAGAGACCGTGTTTTGACATGTTGGTCAGGCTGGTCTCGAACTCCTGACCTCAGGTGATCCACCCGCATTAGCCGCCCACAGTGCTGGGATTACAGAAGTGGGCCACTATGCCCAGCCTCCTTTTTCTAGATTATATATGTGTGTGTGTGTGTGTGTGTGTGTGTGTGTGTGTGTGTGTGTGTGTGAAGGACAGCAGAACAGGATCAAGGAGAAGCTTTTTCAAGACACAATGTCTGGGCCCCATTCTGATCTACTGAATCAGAGACTCACAGCCATTGCTAATCTACGAGGAGGCCTATATTATCACAGGAAATTTAGCAAAATGTTTAGAATATTTTTAAATCAGAACTCCCGAAAGATAAAAAGCTTATTAGAAATACTTTATCAAACTACTTGGATTGTTGGCGTGGGGGGCAGGAAGGGAGGAAGGGGAGTGGGAGTGAAAAAGGACTCAGAGATATTCACGGCGCATTCAGAAATAATAATGACCACTAAAGTCCTTCATCAGAGAGAGGACCCAACAATCTGCAACTCTGTTGGTGGTGGTGGCTCTGTGTGTGTATGCAGTGTGTTTCTGTAAAGTTTGGGAATGAAACTAACCTGGCATACTAAGAAAGAAAGGTAAGGTTGGGGCTATTAACAACTGTCTTCATTTTTCACCTTAGCAGCCGCAGCAGCACCTCTTCAAACAAACAAACAAATAAACAAAAAAATACCATTTTAGGCATTTTATTTACCCGACCATAATATCAAACTATGAGGTATTCTAAGATACACATTTATCAGTTCGGATCTAGCTAGTATTGCGTAGTCTAAAAAGCTCTCCAGGTGGTCTGCATTGCACTCTTCCCCATAAAGGGAAAAACCATGATAGCAATACTTCCTAATTTTAATGTGTATACCAATGGCATGGGTGTTTGTTAAAATGCACATTCTGAGTTATAGGTCTGGGGCTAAGCCAGGGATTCTGTGCTTCTAGCATACTTCCTGCATGATACTGAGGCTGCTTGTCTGCAGACCACACATTGCTTAGTAACGCCCCAGAACATCAAATATTCATCTGAACAAAGTAATATAAACATCCTCAGGTATTTCCTCCTTTTACACACTGTATTCCCAGCTTCGAGGCCTGTAGTTCTTTTTTCTCAGAGGGCCTGGAATTGGAAAAGAGATGAGGAATTAAGAGATCACAGTAGCCTGAGCTGCAAATCCTGCCTAGGAGTACACCTGTCCTTTGAGGCTCATTTCTCTTCATCCTTTCGCCTCTCTGTTTTTAGGTATCAAAGCTTGAAAGAGAGAAGACTCAAGAAGCGAAGAGGATTCGTGAGCTGGAGCAGCGCAAGCACACAGTGCTGGTGACCGAACTCAAAGCCAAGCTCCATGAGGAGAAGATGAAGGAGCTGCAGGCTGTGAGGGAGAACCTTATCAAGCAGCACGAGCAGGAGATGTCAAGGACGGTGAAGGTGCGCGATGGAGAGATCCAGAGGCTCAAGTCCGCTCTCTGTGCTCTCCGTGACGGCAGCAGTGACAAAGTAAGGACAGCGCTCACCATTGAGGCCCGGGAGGAGGCCCGGAAACTGTTTGATGCAGAGCGCCTTAAGCTCTTACAGGAAATTACGGACCTGAAAACGGCCAAGAAGCAGGTGGACGAGGCTTTGAGCAATATGATCCAAGCAGATAAAATCAAGGCTGGGGACCTTCGGAGTGAGCATCAGTCCCACCAAGAAGCCATCTCAAAGATCAAGTGGGAGTCGGAGCGGGATATTCGGAGACTGGTTAGTACAGTAATCCCACCAGACCCATGCAGAACCCTTCTCTTCCAGGTTTCAGAGTGCCATGGGATTTGCTTCTTCATATGTTTTCTTGTCAGTGGATTATAAACAGTGCCTACCTTTTGTCCAATGCTCTATCCAAGATAGATCAGTAGGTAGGTAGGTAGTTAGTTCAGTAGAGAGATATGCTCAGGCCAAATTGAAATTGTAAAATGTAAGAGATTTTGGAAATCGCCTTTCTCATAAAAACTGGATTCTCCAAGGACCATATCTATTCAAGGACTCCTGTTTTCTTAGATATTTATAAAAATATTCTAAACCTTGGACTTCTCTAAAGTAGCATGTTTTTGTGGGCTTTTCATTTATATAGTTTCATTGTTTTATTTTTTAAAGAAAGGGTAGAAGAAGTTTCTATGAGCTTCATGGTGGTCTGAAAATGGCAGCTACTTAGAACATCTTCAGTCTTTTTTTTCCAGGAACTAGATACAAAACTATAAAAACCCTAGTCATTTTAACATAGATATTTTCCCCAAAGTGAACAGGGGTCATTTAAAACAGAAGCCATTATAATTTTTAAATTGATTTTCATCCCTAAGCATCTTGTTTGCTATTTATAGTTTCTAAGACTTAACTCAGCCCCTACAGAGTTGGGTCTTTCCTTCCAACATGTATGACCAAAAACCAGATAGGCGTCTCAGTATGCTTAAATATAATACAAATATAATTATAATCTGAAAATTAGAATGTCCTAGGTTGACCTTGTATACTTATTTTAGACTAAACAATTTTATGGTTATTTGCATTCAGATGCTTAATATCTGTTATATATCTTGTCACACTATCACCTGTTAGAATGTACGTTATGCTTCTCTGGAAAAGGTTTTTTAGGAAAAACTATACTTTTCCTCTTTTGTCTTCCAGTTCTAAGCAATTACTTTCTGAGAATTCTGATTATGTTCCATGGGTGTTTTCTCTAGGCTTTTAAGTTCAAAGTGGTTACCATAGAGCATTTTTAAAAGCTAATGTTTAATTTTCTTTGTACTGTAATACAGTGTAACTGTAAAATACTGCCTTTGCCACACTTTCTGAATTCTTTATGTCAACTGATTCTATTGCACTGTTTGACAATAAAGACCAAACACAGTGCAGAAATATTGGTCTCTGCCCTGCATTTGGTTTTTGAAACCACGGTGGCTGATGAAGAAAGAATCAGGACTTCGAACTCTGGAGTTGGCAGGTTAAGTATTCAATGAAAAGGAAGGTTTGTATTAAATATTTTCATTTGTTGATGGTTTTCAATATAAAATCTGTGAGTGTATCCACTTGATATGCTAACTTTTTCCATGGCTTTATTTCACCTGCATATTGCTGAAATAGACATGAAATCCTTCTTAATAACAATGTGAAGGAGAGGGGCCAAGATGGCCAAATAGAAACAGCCCTGGTCTGCAGCTCTTAGTGAGACCAACACAGAAGGCAGGTGATTTCTGCTTTTCCAACCGAGGTACCCAGTTCATCTCACTGGAACTGGTTTGGCAGTGGGTGCGACCCACAGAGAACAAGCAGTGCAGGGTGGGGACTTTGCTTCATGTGGGAAGTACACATAGCCAGGGGACCTCCTTCCCCCAGCAAAGGGAAGCCATGAGAGACTCTGCTACCTGCCCTGGGTATTACACTTTTCCCATGGATTTTTTGCAATCCACAGATCATCACATTCCCTCATGAGTCTACACCACTAGGGTCCTGGCTTTCAAGTACAAATCTGGGTGGCTGCTTGACCAGGCTCTGTGCTGTAGGAGTTTTTTGTTTTTGTTTTTGTTTTTTTTTTTTCATACTCCAGCGGCACCTGGAACTCCAGTGAGTTCCAGGAGATTGAACCACTGTCCAATCAGTGGGGGCTGAAGCCAGAAAGTCAAGCAGTCTCACGCAGTGGAGTCCCAGTCGCACTCATGTGGAATCCAGCAAGCTAAGAACCACTGGCTTGAAATTTTCACTGCCAACACAGCAATCTAGAGTCAGCCGGGGATGATTGAGTTTGACTGGTGGAGGGGTGACCCTCTTTACTGTGGCTTTAGTTGGCGGTTTTCCCTTGACAGTGCTAAAGAGACTGGGAGTTTGGACTGGGCAGAATTCATCACAGCACAGCAAAGCAGCTGTGGCCAGACTGCTTCTCTAGAGTCCTCCTCACTGGGCAAGGCCTCTCTGCAGGAAATCTAGCAGCTCCAATCAGGGGCTTACAGACAAAACACTCATCTCCCTAGGACAGAGCACCAGAGGGGAGAGGTGGCTGTGGTTGCAGCTTCAGCAGACTTAATCTTTCCTGCCTGCCAGCTCTGAAGAGAGTGGCTAATCCTGACAGGGAGGTTCTTCCAGCACAGTGCACCAGCTCTGCTAAAGGACAGACTGCCTTCTCAAGCAGATCTCTGACGCTATGTCTCCTGACTGGGAGAGAACTCCCAGAAGTGGTTGACAGACACCTCATACAGGAGAGCTCTGGCTGGCATCAGGCCAGTGCCTCTCTGAGATAAAACTTCCAGAGGAAAGAGCAGACAGCAAGTTTTGCTGTTCTGCAGTCTCCACTAGTGATACCCAGGCAATAAAGTTCTAACGTGGACCTCTAACAAACTCCAGTAGACCTGCAGAAGAAAGGCCTGACTTTTAGAAAAAAAACTAACAACAACAAACAAAACTAAAAAAGCAACAACAACATCAACAAAGAGACCCTCCAAACCCCATCCAAAGGTCATTAGCCTTAAAGATCAAAGGTAGAGAAATCCACAAAGATGAGTAACAAACAGTGCAAAAACACTGAAAATCCCAAAAACCAGAATGTCGCTTCTCCTCCAAATGATCGCACTGCCTCTCCAGCAAGGACACAGAACTGGATGGAGGACAAGATGGACAAATTGACAGAAGTAGGCTTCAGAAGGTGGGTAATTACAAACTCCTCTCAGTTGAAGGAGCATGTTCTAATCCAATGCAAGGAAGCTGAGAACCTTGATAAAAGGTTGCAGGAACTGCTACCTAAAATAACCAGTTTAGAGAGGATCATAAATGACCTGATAGAGCTGAAAAACACTCATGAGAACTTCATGAAACATACACAAGTATAAATAGCTAAATCGATCAAGCAAGAGAAAGGATATCAGAGATTGAAGATCAACTTAATGAAATAAAACATGAAGACAAGATTAGAGAAAAAAGAATGAAAAGGAATGAACACAGACTCCAAGAAATATGGGGCTACATGAAAAAGACCAAACCTACAATTGATTGGAGTACCTGAAAGAGATGGGGAGAATGGAACCAAGTTGGAAAACATACTTCAGGATATATCCAGGAAACTTCCCCAATTTAGCAAGACAGGCCAACACTCAAATTCAGGAAATACAGAGAACATCACAAAGATACTCCATGAGAAGATCAACCCCAAGACACGTAATCTTCAGATTCTCCAAGGTCGACATGAAGGAAAAAATGTTAAAGGCAGCCAGAGAGAAAGGCCAGGTAACCTACAAAGGAAAGTCCATCAAACTAACAGCGGATCTCTCAGCAGAAGTCCTACAAGCTAGAAGAGAGTAGAAGCCAATAGTCAACATTCTTAAAGAAAAGAATCTTCAGCCCAGAATTCCATATCCAGCCAAAGTTTCATAAGTGAAGGAGAAGCAAAATCCTTCCCAGACAAGCAAATGCTAAGTGATTTTATCACCACCAGGCCTGCCTTGCAAGAGCTCTCGAAGAAAGCACTGAATATGGAAAGAAAAAAGCAGTACTTGCCACTGCAAAAACACACCAAAATATAAAAACCAATGACACTATGAAGAAACTGCGTCAACTAGTGTGCAAAATAACCAGCTAGCATCATGATGACAGGATCAAATTCACACATAACAATATTAACCTTAAATGTAAATGGGCTAAATGCCCCAATCTGGGGCAAATTGGATAAACGTCAAGCTCCATTGGTGTGCTGTATTCAGGAGACCCATCTCATGTTCAAAGACACACATAGGCTCAAAAAAAAGGGATGGAGGAATATTTAGCAACCAAATGGAAAGCAGGAAAAAGAAAGGGTTGCAATCCTAGTCTCTGACAAAATAGACTTTAAACCAACAAAGATCAAAAAGATAAAGAAGGGTGTTACATAATAGTAAAGGGATAAATTCAACAAGAAGAGCTAACTATCTTAAATATATTGCACCCAATACAGGAGCACCCAGATTCATAAAACAGGTTCTTAGAGACCTACAAAGAGACTTAGACTTCTACACAATAATAGTGGGAGACTTTAACACTCCACTGTCAATATTAGACAGATCAATGAGACAGAAAATGAACAAGGATATTCAGAACTTGAGTTCGACTCTGGATTAAGCATTCCTAATATAACAGAACTCTCCACCCTAGATCAACAGAATACACATCCCTCTCATGCCACATGACACTTATTCTAAAATCGACCACATAATTGGAAGTAAATCACTCCTCAGCAAACGCAAAAGAACTGAAATCACAACAAACAGTCTCTCAGACCACAGTGGAATCAAATTAGAACTCAGGATTAGGAAACTCACTCAAAACCACACAACTACATGGAAATTGAACAACCTGCTCCTGAATGACTCCTGGGTAAATAATGAAATTAAGGCAGAAATCAAGAAGTTCTTTGAAACCGATGAGAACAAAGAGACAATGTACCAGAATCTCTGGGATACAGCTAAAGCAGTGTTAAGAGAGAGATTTATAGTGCTAAATGCCCACATCAGAGAGATGGAAAGATCTCAAATCGACACCCTAACATCACAATTAAAAGAACTAGAGAATCAGGAGCAAACAAATCCAAAAGCTAGCAGAAGACAAGAAATAACTAAGATCAGAGCAGAAATCCCAAGATGAAGACAAGAAAAACCCTGCAAAAAATTAATGAATCCAGAAGCTGTTTTTTTTTAAAAAAATTGACAAAATAGACCACAAGCAAGACTAATAAGGAAGAAAAGAGAGAACCAAATAGATACACACTAAAAAGTGATAAAGGAGATATCACCACTAACGCATTGAAGTACAAACTACCATCAGGGAATGCTATAAACACCTCTATGCAAATAAACTAGAAAATCTAGAAGAAATAGATAAATTCTTGGACACATACATTCAACCAAGACTAAACCAGGAAGAAGTTGAATCCTTGAATAGACCAATAACAATTTCTGAAATTGAGGCAGTAATACATAGCCTACCAACCAAAAAAGAAGGCCAGGAGCAGACAGATTTATACTCCAATTCTACCAGAGGTACAATGAGGAGCTGGTACCATTCCTTCTGAAACTAATCCAAACAATTGAAAAGGAGTGACTCCTCCCTAACTCATTTTATGGGGCCAGTATCATCCTGATACCAAAATCAAGCAGAGACAACATAAAAAGAAAACATCAGGTCAATATCCCAGATGAACATCAGTGTGAAAATCTTCAATAAAATACTGGCAAACCGAATCCAGCAGCAGCACATCGAAAAGCTTATCCACCACAATTGAGTCAGCTTCATCGCAGGGATGCAAGCCTGGTTCAACGTATGCAAATCAATAAACGTAATCCATCACACAAACAGAACCAATGACAAAAACCACATGATTATCTCAATAGATGCAGAAAAGGTTTTTGATAGAATTTAACATCACTTTATGTTAAAAACTCTCAGTAATCTAGGTTTTGATGGAATAGATCTCAAAATAGTAAGAGCTATTTATGGCAGACCCACAGCCAATATCATACTGAATGGACAAAAGCTGGAAGCATTCCCTTTGAAAACCAGCAAAAGACATGGATGCCCTCTCTCACCACTCCTAGCCAACATAATATTGAAAGTTCTGGCCAGGGTAATCAGGCAAGAGAAAGAAATCAAGGATATTCAAATAGGAAGAGACAAAGTGAAATTGTCTCTGTTTGCAGGTGAGGTGATTCTGTATTTAGAAAACCCCATCATCTCAGCCCAAAATTCCTTAAACTGATAAGCAACTTCAGCAAATATTCAGGATACAAAGTCAATGTGAAAAAAATCACAAAAATTTCTGTAATTTCTATACACCAGCAAGAGGCAAGCAGAGAGCCAAATCATGAATGAAATCCCATTCACAATTGCTACAAAGAGAATAAAATATCTAGGACTACAGCTTACAAGGGACATGAAGGACCTCTTCAAAGAGAACTACAAACCACTGCTCAAGGAAATAAGAGAGTACACAAAGAAATGGAAAAACATTCCCTCCTCATGGATAGGAAGAATCAATATCATGAAAATGTCCATACTACCCAAAGTAATTTATAGATTCAATGCTATTCCCATCAAACTACCATTGACATTCTTCACAGAATTTTAAAAAACTACTTTAAATTTCATATGTAACCAAAAAGAGCCCGTATAGCCAAAACAATCCTAAGTAAAAAGAACAAAGCTGGAGCCATCACACTGCCTGACTTCACACTATACTACAAAGCTACAGTAAACAAAACAGCATCATACTGGTACCAAAACAGACATACAGACCAATGGAACAGAACGGAGACCTCAGAAATATCACCACACATCTGTAATCATCTAATCCTTGACAAACCTGACCAAACAAGCAATGAGAACAGGATTCCCTACTTAATAAATGTTTCTGGGAAAACTGGCTAGCCATGTGCAAAAAACTGAAACTGAACCCTTTCCTTACACCTTATACAAAAATTAACTCAAGATGGGTTAAAGACTTAAATGTAAAACCCAAAACGATAAAATCCTAAAAGAAAACCTAGGTAATGCCATTCAGGACATTGGCGTGGGCAAAAACTTCATGATGAAAACACCAGAAGTAATTGCAACAAATGCCAAAGTTGACAAACAGGATCTAATTAAACTAAAGCGCGTCCGCATAGCAAAAGAAACTAGCATCAGAGTGAGCAAGACAACCTGTAGAATGGTAGAAAATTTTACAATCTACTCTTCCGACAAAGGTCTAATATCCAAAATCTATAAGGAACTTAAACAAATTTACAAGAAAAAAAAAAAAAAAAAGTAGGCAAAGGAGATAGACACTTCTCAAAAGAAGACATTTATGTGGCCAGCAAACATGTAAAAAAAAAGCTCATCATCTCTGATCATTTGAGAATTGCCATTCAAAATTACAGTAAGATACCATCCCACATCAGTCAGAATGCCAAGCATGAAAAAGTCAAGAAACAATAGACGCTGGTGAGGCTGTGGAGAAATAGAAACACTTTTTGCCCTGTTGGTGGAAATGTAGATTGGTTCAACCATTGTAGAGGACAGTGTGATGATTCCTCAGGGATCAAGAACCAGAAATACCTTTTGACCCAGCAATCCCATTACTAGCCATATGACTATGACCAAATTTTTAATAAATCATTCTACTAAAAGACACATGCACATGTATGTTTACTGCAGCATTATTTACAATAGAAAGACATGGAACCAACCCAAATGTCCATCAGTGATATAGACTGGATAAAGAAAATGTGGTACACATACACCATGGAATACAATTCAGCCATTAAAAAGAATGAGATCATGTCCTTTGCAGAGACATGAATGAAGCTGGAAGCCATCATCCTCAGCAAACTAACACAGGAACAGAAAACCAAACACTGCATGTTCTTGCTCATAAGTGGGAGTTAAACAATGAGAACACATGGACACAGGGAGGGGAACAACACACACTGGGGCCTGTCCAGGGTAGGGGACAAGGGGAGGGAAAGCGTTAAGACAAATACTTAATGCATGTGGGGCTTAAAGCCTGGATGATGGGTTGATAGGTACAGCGAGCCACCATGGCACATGTATATCTATGTACCAAAGTTGCGTGTTCTGCACATGTATTACAGAACTTAAAGTAAAATAAAAATTAAAATTAAAAAGAGTAAAATCTGAGCCACCTGATGAGTGGCTCACAAACTGCATGAACACAGAATAACATAGGAAACTTTTTCGATAGTATGGATATACGCATCTTCATTGTTTTCTTCTGTGCCTTCCCCCACCCCAAGCTTCATTTTTGGGACTGGAAGGGAGAAAAATAGGAGCTTTTCTGTCTAGAAAATTTCCTCAAAGAATTCTGGTGTACTCTTTCCCGTCTAAGAATAGAGCCTTGGTGGATTTTCAGTATTTTGAGATCAGAGTCCATGCTCATAACCATTATGCAATAAAGGTTTCTCAATACTAATTATTATATATTCCATAGGAAACCACTTTGGGAAATGCTTAAAGTATATGAATAATCTTAAAGCTAGTATAGCATAGTGCCTAACACAATGGGCTCTACAGTCAGAAGAATCCATTAAAAATAAGGCTTCACAACTTACTAGCCATATGGCTATGACCGAATTTTTAAGCTTTCAGGTCCTCAGTCATCATCTGTAAAATGATGACGACTGAACCTACTGAATAGGATTCTTATAAAATAGGGTATATTAAGCTTTGAGTATAGTACCCTGAATATAGTAAAAGATCGATGAATTTCAGCTATAATGATGGTGATGATGAGGATGAATGTGGACGGTAATGGAATGCTTTCTCAATAAGTTCAGCAAGGTGAGTACATAGAAAACAACTAGAGCTATGTTAACCTGTAAATGAAAGTAATGCTCTAGATGACAAGTCTGACAAATGAACATACTGCTCAGTTAAGCAAAACACTGGTCTCAAGTCTTTTACGAGGCACAAACCAGATACAATGCTATTATTCCCAATTAACAAGATAATATTGAATTCTCACCAAGTTATCAGATGATGTTACAAGATCATGAAGAATTTAGCCCAAAGCTCTTTCAGAATTGACCTAAAATTTAAGTATATGACTCAAAGGCAGTAGCTCACAGATATTTATATGTGGAACATATGTGACTGTGTAACACCATTTCTGTTGCAAATATTTTTTTTTTCTGGTCTAAGAGCACACAGCAAAGAAAGATTTATACAAAATTATTTGTTTTGTATAAGAAGACACTTTTAGAAAAAGCAAAACAGCGTAATGTTGTTAGTATTAAATGTCTTTTCCTTATCTCCGTTTTGAATAAACACATAGAATATGGTGAAATGAGAAGAAAGCTTTCACCCAATGGCTATGATCTCTTTAAAAACTGTTCATAGACATTCACTTTATTATCCCTTATCCTAGGATGGCAAAAAGGTTTCATTCTAAAGGAACTCAAATCAATTGGTATTGTGGCCTTTAGTCGAGAAATTCTTCTGAGGCCATGCCTAGGCTTAGCAGAAATGCATATTGGAATCAATAAATACATCCCACACATGTGGGAGGGAAAACAGTGGTTGACATTGCCAGATATTTTCTATTCGTTTTAGTCCCAACCATGATTTTCTTATAGTAATGGTAAAATGGCTGCTAAGATGGCTGCTCTGAAACACAAGTGAGAATAGAAAGAGATATAACACATGAACTGTGGAAGGATCTCCCTCCAAATCCATCACCTGAATGGAAGCATGTTAGTCTTGGAAAATGACTAGGCCACTGGGAAGTCTGAAGTTTCTTCAGTTACAAATGATCACCTACTAATAAGAGCAATGGCTATTATGATTGAATTTGAATGCCCATTTTTCCAAAGAAGAAGTGACATCAAAAAATGTCCTAGGAAACATTATAGTGGAATATTTAGTATTCATCTTTATTCAAATTAATGACCATTTTAAAGTTAGACATATCTAATCAACCAAGACTAATTCAAACAATATATTGAATTAAAACATCTTCACAGGATATACTAGGAAGAAAAAACATTACTCTCCTTAATACCAAGTCAACCCAGGATACTTCTTTATTACACAATGTTGCCTCATCTTATATGTGAAATCAATACACTTGTCATATTCATGATTTTTTTTCTGTATCAATCATATGAAAGAAGTTAAATGTATACCATTATAAAAATGTATTTCTTTACAGCATTGTTACATAAAATGTCCCGGGTCTCATTTAATTCAGATGGATGAAATCAAAGCCAAGGACAGGATCATCTTTTCCCTGGAAAAGGAACTGGAGACCCAAACAGGCTATGTACAGAAACTCCAACTTCAGAAGGAGGCTTTGGACGAACAACTCTTTCTGGTCAAGGAGGCTGAGTGCAACATGAGCAGCCCGAAACGAGAAATTCCGGGAAGGGCAGGTGATGGTTCCGAACACTGCAGCAGTCCTGTAAGTCCAGTCTAGCTGAAGTTAAGAACACACAAGTCATCTTTTATTTAGCTCCCATGCTTTACCTTTCACTTAAGCTCTTTTCTTGGTTACTACAAAGAAATCAATCTACCTTCTACTATCAACTCAGCTAGTATCTTGGGAACAGAGTTTTCTAAACTCATAGATGACTAAGTGGTCTGCACTGCCTTAGCAGATCACATGAGACTTACAGATTTCTTTAAATTCTTCCTAGAATTTTTCTAGTCAGGCAATATCTATTTAAACTTAAGTCTATTATGAGAAACAAAAATTAGATGAAAATATTTTGCCTCTTGCCTAGACTGGTAATCTTCCCTTTTGTGAACAATTGGGTTGGAAATTGATACAGATGGTTGTCATCTACAGGGCACAAAACGTATAAGTGCATAAAAGACAAAAGCATTTATAAACTTCATCTAAAGACTTATTGAACTTACTACTTACTTCCCTGGGTTTTCATCATTTTATATGAGAAATTATTTTCAGAAGTGCAGCAATAGAAATGGTCTTATATGCAGTTGGCTATAACGCTTATACCTTTCCAACTATTTAGCTATTATAATGATGGAAATGTATTATTTAGAAACAGAGATGGGTTCCAAAGTATTACTGAGAGCTAAGTAATGAATAATTTATGAATTGGTATTCAGGAGATATATATATATATATCTTAGCAGGTCAGAATCTTTGGTTCAAATCCCAAATCTGTCATTTACTGTGTGTCCTTAGGCAAACAACCACCATTCAGTTTTCTCATCTGTAAAACAGAAGCTATAGTAGTACCTCCTAAGGCTGATCCAATGATTAGAAGACATAATATGTAAAACGTTGAGCATGATGTCTGGTACATAGCATTTAATACATATTCGTTATTGATCTTTTGATATTAGCCACAGGACCTTAAAGGACTTATTATATACCTAAATTTTACCTATTCTGCTAAATCCTTTAGGATATTGTGAATGTAGGGATATAATATGTTTGAAACTGCTTTGTCAACAGTACAGCATTATCAAAATGTAAGAAGATAATATAATTGCCAGCACATAACAGTAACAGTCTTATGTAATTCTACAATATGAAATTAAGCCATGAATGCCCTGTGTAAGGTGATTCATAGCAATTCCGCCAGTGGAGAAGCCAGTTTCATTGGGCAGAATATACTAATGAGGTCTATCCTATAAACTACTGCCCTTTACACATGAAGGTAATACACCAACATTTTCTCACTTTGACCTTCTTCTTCAGGAGTATGAAGGAATTGGCAATACTCATCCCTACTTCCTACTCTCTTCCCTCTGTGGCTAATGGTAATAGCAGGACAACTATCTAAGCTGTGGGAAGCAATGTGTGGTCATGACACAAGGGATGCCCTTTGAACCCTATGTTCTCACAGCATGACCTTGGTCTCATAGCACACAGCTCTGATAGGTTGATCCAATGCTCTGACTCCCCCTTCCCTGAGTCCTGGTTCCAGGGAGTATCTACCACATTGAATTCATTTGCAATTACAACCTGGCATGGTCTTCAACCCAAGTGGTAAATATTGAAAGTCATAATAGGGTAAATATTTACTCTTTGGATAAAAAAATATTTTATTCTCACTTCAGGAATCAGGTAAGAGAGCTGAGCCCATTACTTTTATGAATAATAAGTGATATTTCCAAACTTTGTGAAAAATGTTGTTGAAGAATACCCATTTTAATTTTTTGGTGTAGGATTTGCGAAGAAACCAAAAGAGAATAGCTGAATTGAATGCCACTATAAGAAAATTAGAAGACAGGAATACCTTGCTTGGAGATGAACGAAATGAACTGGTGAGATATACTAAAATGTTTTGTTGCTGTTGTTGTTAAGCGTTATGTTACAGAATTACGTACTATGTTATAGACATGTACCATAATAGAAAAAAGTGTACAAATAACAAAGATACCATTCAATAGATATTCATAAAGCGGCACAATAAAAAAACCACCATCCAGATGAGTAAGTGGAAGATTATAAGCATCTCAAACTCCTGCTTCTTATGACCCCTCCCTATCAGCATCCTATTAAACTTAACCACTATTCTGACTTCAATCACTATAGATGTCTATCACCATTTAAATTCTTTTTTAAATGGAATCATACAATATTTTCTCTTTTTTGTCTGACTACTTCTGCTTCTTTATTCAGCCTTATGTTTTTGAGATTTATCCATTGTGTTGCATGTAGAATTCATTCATTTTCATTTCTCTATAGCATTCAAATAATATATGACAATATACTCATCCATTTTATCGTTAATGGACATTTCTGTTGTTCCTTAAAATTTCTGAGCTGTTTTGAGAAGAACAGTGCTTCTACATGTTTTTGTAAAAAAATTTGCCCATTTCTTGTGGAATATACAGAGGAGTAGAATTACTGGATGTTAGAGTATAGGTGTAGTCAGCATCAGTAGTTATTACCAAACAGTAAGTTGTCACAATTCCCTCCAATCATGAATGAAAGTGGTAGTTTCTCCATATATATGCCAACATAGAAAGATAATTGTTAGTCATGTTGGTGGATGTAAGGTATACCCTTACACCTTACATTATGGTTTTAATTTTCCTCATTATTAAGAAGGTAGGATAACTTTTCAAATATTTACTAGCCTTTCAGATATTTTTTATAATTTGCCCTTAGCCTTTTGCCCATTTTCTGTTATGCTGCCTTTATTGTTTTAGTTACTATTAGGATTTTTTATCATTACTTCTGGTACATTTGCATTTAAAATATCTTGCTCTATGGCTTACATTTTTTACTTTAATAGAGCTATTCACATAAAAGAGTTATTTTCAGTCTCCTTTTTTCAAATATATGTATTTTAGGCTGTAATTGTCTCTCGAATCCTTGCATTAGTATGATATATTGTTATTTCTTTCAAAAATTTTATCTAATGTCATATAATTTCTCCTTTGATATATGAGTCACTTGGAAGCATATGGCTTAATTTCAAAACATTTAGAGGTTTTTGAGTTATCTTTCTGGTATCAATTTCTACCTTAATTCTACTATAGTCAGAGAATGTACTTTGTATATTTTATTCCTTCAAAATTTGTTGAGATTTGCTTTATGAGCTCTACATACAGTCAATTTTAGAAATGTTACATGTTTACATGAAAAGAAGGCATACTCTATAATTATTAGTTGCACTTTGATTGAAGTTTGTTAATAACCTTCTTTAAAATTTTCTAAATGCTTACTGATATTTTTGTCTGCTTGTTCTCGCAATAGATTTGTCTATATCCTTCTCAGTTCTTTCAATTTTACTTTATATGCATATAGAACATATAATATATATTTATAATATATAATATATTAGATATTATGTTACTAGATGAATATAAATTAATAATTGTTTGTTTTTTTGTGTGTATTGACACTTTAATCATTATGCATTTTTCTTCTCTGGTAGCACTTCTTGACTTAAAGTCTTTGTTATTAGTTGAACTGTATCAGATTTTTGTTTTAGTGTTGGCGTGAATGTATATGTGTATGTGTGTATATATACATATGTATGTACAACTATATACACATACATATATATGTACATATTCACATACACATATATACACATACATACTTTTTTTTTCCAACCTTTCTGTATTTTATTTAAGGTATACCTTAAAAGGAACATTGTGTTGGGTATTGTGGAACTATTGTTATTGATGTATGATATAATAAATTATAGATATTTTCTTTGTGCATATTTGCATTTTCTATGAGCAGCATTAATAAGTAAATTTAAATATTTAAAACTCACATCATTGACCTTCAAAAAGAGACAGATGAAAATAGTGAACCTATTAGAATAACTTATTGTACTTATATGTATACAATATTTAATATGAATGCTTCAGGCACTAAAGACTAAGGCATTAATGCTTCAGGACTAAGTCAGATTATTTATAAAAATAAATCCAGTTTTGTCCTTTAATATGAAATGGAGTTCTTAAATTGAGATTGAGATGGATTTGTGGAAGTGCTGCTTAAGAATCATAAAATTAGATTTTACAAATATTCATAATTAGCTAAGTCTCCTACCTCAGCACTTCCCAAAATCTTAGATGCCCAAGGACAGTAGTGAATACTTTAAAAAGTCTTCTCAAATATTTCTGATACACCCCTCCTTTTTCCTTGCTCCTCTCCCAATACATGTTCAATTTCAGAATCATTGGTATGAAAAGAATAAGCTAATCTTGAGAAGCTGAAAATGAAAATCCATTATGTACAGGATGATTATGAAATATACAAATAGGAGAGGTTTATAAGTAAAGGGGAGGACTATTAATTATCACCCCAAGACAATTTCCATAAAGTTAAACCAGTGGTTCCCAACTACAAGTGATTTTGGCAATATCTGATATTTTGGTGGTCACAATCAGCAGAGCATTACTGGCATCTAACAAGCAGAGGCCAAGGATGGTGCTAAACATCCACCAATGCACAGGACACCTCACATCAAAAAAACATCTGGCTCAAAAAGTCACAGATGCCAAGACTGAGAAACCCTGCTTTAGACTAACCAAGCAAATGAGAGTATGATCACTCTTAATCATGGCTGGATAACAATGCAATCATACTTTACTAAGCGTGGGGAGAATTCTATATCCTTAAACACAAGCATTGATAGAGTTTCAAACTTATGTGGGGTTTTGTTCTCAATAAAACTTCTTTTAAAATAACAACTGTAGTGTGAGTCAGGAGATCTCCACAAGATCTCTGAAAGAATGACCTTTGGATTCAGGTCCTGGTCACAATACTTAGTGACCTGTGTGATTTGGGTGAGCTCCTTTATCTCTGAGCTAATGAAGGTAATTCCGGGTGCAGAGATTGCAGCTGAGCCCAGTGGGGTAACGGGTGGGGGAAGCGAAAGAAAGCAAGGAGAGCAGGTCCTCTGGAGCATTTCCAAAACCAGTGTCTGCAGTACTTTCCTTAAGATAATGAATTGATATGGGGTTACGAAGGCTGTGATGAAAAGCCATTAGTGAAAACTGAAAAGAAGGCCATCGGTCTGTTAAATGAAGGACTGAAATGTCAGTCGTCAGTCCTGAGCCACACAGTGAAGCAGACAATGCCCGCTCCAGAGATGCTTTCACTCCCACCACTTTCTTCCCTGCCCCCATGTCCCTCAAACACAAGACACAAATCTTAAACTTATTTCTTCCCAGTTAAAACGCGTGCGGGAAACCGAAAAGCAATGTAAACCTCTCCTGGAAAGGAACAAGTGCCTCGCCAAGAGAAACGATGAACTGATGGTGTCCTTGCAGCGCATGGAAGAAAAACTAAAAGCAGTTACCAAGGAAAATTCAGAAATGGTATGTATCACAGACTGCGAAACTGCAGCTTCCTTGATTATATTACCCCAATAGCCGGACTTATTGCTATTTCTCAGCTTCTTTTTAGAATACAATGCTATTTGGATTTTTCCTTACGTAAGCAAGGAAGCTTCAAGAAAGAAAGCATGAGAAGTTTGCTGGCTCTGAATTTTATGAGAGTTCTATATTTGTAAAACCGTAGGAGTGCTTCCAGGAATTTGCACGCTTTCCAAAAGCTCGGAAGTGGAGAAGGAAAGCTTTCATAGCCACAGAAACCTTCCATGACTTCACTAACATGCTATTTACAGATCTATACCCTAGGCACATCTTGTCTTCTAAGATTGTGCCTGATAGTTGGAAAATGGATACCATTACTTGTATTATATATGGACAAGTGATATGCTAACGTACTTCTTAATAGACTTTCAATACATCTATAGAGATCTTCAGACAATCTCCAATGATGTTGATTTATTATGCCAGATAAAATGTGCTTGAGGATTTAGTTGGTGTGTGTGTATTCAGGCTGCATAATTTTCACATTTAGCTGGAGCATCATAAACTTTCTACAGATATTTTAACAACCAAAGTTTAAGATTTTTAAAAACTTCACCTGTACTTTCTTCTTTTCCAATTCAGAGAGAAAAAATAACATCCCATCCACCCCTGAAGAAATTAAAATCTCTGAATGACCTTGACCAAGCTAATGAAGAGCAAGAAACAGAGTTCCTAAAACTTCAGGTCATTGAGCAACAGAATATTATTGATGAGCTCACAAGGGTATGTGTCAATCAATCTGTAAACCCTAAGTTGTTCCCAAGGACAAGTAGCCAACAAAATGTATACTGAAATCAGTTAATTTTAGATTAACTCGAGAGGCCCAAGTTCATATGTTCAATATGTAATTTTGTTCTAGAATTTACGTTCCAATATTTTATATTGTTAAACTGCTTTATAACTTTTAAATTATAATCCTTTGTTAACTAATTTGGTAGCACAAATAATAACAGCAAAGTACATTAAAAGAACTTTTAAATGTGTTGTGGTATAAGTTTGTAAGTAAGGTGGGTGTGTCTTGTAATTGCCTTCCAGTAGCAGGATCTTGAGGCTCAGAGACTTAATATGTTGTCTATGACAACAACATCACATATATCTCTTGTTTCCCGGGTCACAATTCAGTGTCTAGCATATAGTTACAGTTTAATAAATACTTATTGGATAAACAGCAACAATATAATTATATAGCAGAACTAAAATTTCAGTCCAGATTTTCTGATCATTACCTGCTGAGTGGGTGGAAGAGCTATTACTTCCATCTGAGTTTGGCTGAGGTTTATGTTACTAGTAAGGATGTACTAAGACCTCTAGATGCCTTTGGGTTTTCTTTTTTGCCTCTCCATCTTTGTTCTGTGAATGACATCTTTGGTTTCTCTCACTTCAGAACCAGTCAAGGCCTAAAGATTTGAATAGCAAGGGGGGAGTTAGGCAATAGTCTCCAGAGTCAGGTGAGAAAATTGATTCACTACCACTGAGGGAAAGAAAGGGTATAGCTTCTGTTTATAATTACTTATGATTCATCCTTTTTAAAATTTCTGTGTTGACTATGTTATAATGAATACATTAGATTAGGAAGGTAATTTAAATATATAATTATATTGGGGTCTCTAGAGGGACAACTAATAGGATAGATGTATACATAAAGGGGAATTTATTAAGGAGTATTGATTCACACGATCACAAGGTGAGGTCCCACAATAGGTTGTCTGCAAGCTGAGGAGCAAGGAAGCCAACCTAAATCCCAAAGCTGAAGAGCTTAGAGTCTGATGTTCCAGGGCAGGAAGAAATAAGAGAAAGATGTAGGCTAGGAGACTTAAACAGTCTAGTGTTACCATGTCCTTCTGCCTGCTTTTTAATCTGGCCACTGGCCGAGCTGGCAGCTGATTAGACAGTGCCCACCCAGACTGAGGGTGAGTCTCCCTTTCCCAGTCCACTGACTCAAATGCTAACCTCCTTTGGCAACACCCTCACAGACACACCCAGAAACAATACTTGTATCCTTCAGTCCAATGAAATTAACGCTCACTATTAATCATCACAAAAATGTATACATTGTAAAAGTCTCATATATGGAGGTGGCATTTTTACTCTTAAAGGTGAAAAAAATTTAAAAAGCCTAAACACCACTGGATTAAATCAGATTACTTATTAAATGTGGGCTCCCTGTTTTCCTCATTTCATTTTCACATCCTAGTAGCTTATAAATTTTACAGATTCATAAGCCCGGGAACTTGCCTGGCTTTGAATATCCTGAGATTAAGCTGTAAGTTTTTTATAGAATCTTGGGCTATTTAGGCATGCTCATCAGACTTTCCAAAAGACACTCTCTCTAGTTTGAATTTGTACAGTAAATACATGGAGTACTTAGTGAATAACCCCAAATTCCCTGGATATCTCCATTCACAGCAACAATAAATCATGAAATTGATCAATATTTCTAGGCATTCTTTGAGATTCCCAGAAAATTTTTTAAAAACTGAAAATAAAACAGAAACACTAAATGGCTCCAACCCACTAGACACTCTGTTCCCTGTCCTGTTTTCAGGGACTGCAGGTGAGAACAAGGATCCAAAAATAGGCAAAAGACAGTTTTCCATGTATTTCAAATGACTAAATGAAAAGAATACGGTTTTACTTTATTGTGAAATGATATTTTTTAACATAAATTTAAAGTAATTCTGGATCTAGGAGAACTAACGTACTGTGCTTTGGAGGAATATGAGGAACTATTTTCATAGCTACTTGATTTTCAAGCACAAAACAAAGGATTCTGATTAGGAACACAGTACGCTTTCTGATCATGAGGTTCCTTGATCCACCTAAGTCGTCAGGAATAGTTGTAGAAGATTCTTATTTTGAATATATTTAAGTGTCAATCCCAAAAGTTGCCAAAATTTAAAAAACAAAGTCTTATTCTATTCCAAATATAATGCCTTAAGGGAAAAAACACTGTATTTGGAAAAAAAAAAAAAAAAAAAACCTGTAGAGAAACATGTACCAATACTGGAACTGAAAAAATCTTTCATTTGTTTTCCAGGACCGAGAAAAGCTCATCCGTAGAAGAAAACATAGAAGAAGCTCCAAGCCAATTAAGGTAATAAGAAATTGAGGTTATCAGGCATTCACCACAAACAGCCAGAGATATGAGTCTTGGCATGGAATCTTCCTGCAAAGATGTGATGAGTCAGATGTTCCCGAACTGTTGCAGCAAGCCATGGGCTTTATTTTCTAGAAGAAAATCTTTTCTGTTCACATTTCTTCGAAGTCTAAAAATGATTCTGTTGTAAATTTTAACCTGAAAGGGTTTGCTTTAATATGATTTTCTCTAAATGGAGATGCCACTAGGTTTGACTTAGAAAAGATTACCTGACAAGCTGGAGAGTCATACTCCAAGAATATTCAAGAAATACACATGATCTGATGTCTCCCACTGAACAGTATTAATATATTTTTATTATTCATTCAGACAATATTATTGATAATGATCCTCCCACTCCACCAATATCTGTATAGCCTCTTATAATCCACAAAGTTTTGTTATTTAGTCTGTTTGATTTTTATTTTTGTTTTTACTAAGTATACCATTTGTTTTTGATGTGGACTTGGATGACAAGACTTAAGATTTGATCATCTCCATCACGTAGACACCTGAGTTTTCAAAGTCCTTTGGTCATTATTTAAATACAGGAAAGAGTAAACCACATTAGCTCATCGTGATATAACATGTAATATGAAAGAGGCTTCAGTGTTTCTATGAAAAATGCTAAATGAATTTTTCTTGAAGATGTCAGAAGTGAAATCATATTAGAGAAACACTTATTGGAATTATGTTCGTGCCTAATGTTTTTATTTCAACAAAGAAGCATTGGGGATCCATGTCTTCTATGTTCGTTTACATGTATGCCAGTTGACAGTATTTTAACATTTAACTTTCCCTACTTTTAGTTGTGTCAGTAAATACGTACTTTCCCTCCATTTAGAGGCCTGTTTTAGACCCGTTTATTGGCTATGATGAGGACTCTATGGATTCGGAGACATCATCCATGGCCTCATTTAGAACAGACAGAACACCAGCTACTCCCGATGATGACTTGGATGAAGTAAGCTTTTTCTACGTCTCTAGCCGTGGGTGATGTTGTCACCAAATCTTTGATTCAAGTGGGAAGAAAAAGCATTCTGCTTTTTATCTCCTTTGTATAAACAGCACAAAGTTTATACAAACTGTAAACCATATCTCATAATGGTGATAATAGTAACCAATTTTGAGACTGTGCATTGTTATCTCTTGAAAACAGGCAAACCTTTTAGAAATGTTTCTACAGTTCAGCTCTCTAATTTGAAGATGTTTTTCAAAACGAAAGTTACTTTCCAAGATTCTTTATCTAGGGAAGGTAGGAACCACAGAGCAAGCTTAGCAGGCTTTTGGATGTAGTCTGAGACACTCTTGAGCGGAGTGTGCTCTGTGGATCACCCTCATCAGAATGATCTGGAGGGCTCAGTTATAATGAAAATTCCTGGACCCTACCATGCAACTCCTGACTTGAGATTTTAAGAGTGAAACACTCCAATTTTCATTCTTTCCCCAAAATTCCCTGTTAATTATGTTATAGCCTGAAGTTTATGATCTAAAGCAATAAAACAACTTTCATGATTTATCTAGGGGGAAAAAAACAAGTTGTTGGAGATGAACATATTGAAAAGAAATAAGACTAAAATTCTAGGGTATCATTTCCTCAAATTTAGGACCAAAATCTGGATATGACGTTTTCTCATTTGGAACCCAAATGATTTAACAATGAGAAATGTATCAAATGGTAAATGCTTCTTTTACTAAAATAAATATTTACGTATTTCTGCAGTGTCCAACTTGAAACTATTACAGTATTTGTGCCCAGATATATACTTCAGACCTAAAAATAAAATCAAATAGACTGTCAAACAAACCTTTTACTTGTTTAAAAAGTAGTCAAATGTTAGTATTTCACATTGAACACAGGACTTGAACATAACACAATTGTTTTGGCGCTTTTCTTTTAACCTCAAGAGTTTAGCAGCTGAAGAATCTGAACTAAGATTTCGACAATTAACAAAAGAATATCAGGCCCTCCAAAGAGCATATGCACTCTTACAGGAGCAGACAGGAGGCATCATTGACGCTGAACGAGAAGCCAAGGTTAGTGTGTATCTGTGAGAGTGCTCTGAATTAGTGTGCAGCAGTCACAGCATAAAAGTATCATGGACATAAAAATATGAATAGGACAGCTTTCCCTGTACTCTTCTCTCCTTTGCAACTTTTGGACTGGTATAGCTTTTATGTCAACAAACCTTGAAGCCAGATATATTAGAACCAGCTTAGATCAGTGCTTTTGTTCCTTTAAAGATAGTTGAGTCCATAGTTCTTATTCTTGCTATTTGAAAACATACATTTTCAAAGCTAGACAATATTGGATTTTGTTAAGCCATTTTTTGTTAAGCCATTTTTAGTTTCTTGCTTAAAATTACTTTTTTTATCTTTCAAAAGCAATAGTGAGCCAATTTCTTCTCTTAGTTATTAAGTGAACAGCATTTACGTTTGACAGCTTATCAGAATTTTCACAGACAATATCTCACTTAACCCTTGTGACAGCCCCCAAGGCAGATATTTTACAAAAGAGCAATTTGAGACTCAGAGGGGTTAATTGAATTGCCCCAAACTGCACAAATAGTAAATGGCAAAGCTGATATTACAACTTAAGTTTTACTGGGTCAAATGTTCTTTTCTTTATATCATACTGCCTCTCATGAGCCTATTTCAACAAAAAGAAAAGATAAGATAGGCATGTACTGTACTAATTCTTAATATTTATTCAGTGCTTGCTGTGTTCCAGGCATTGAGCTGAACACTTTACATGCATTATCTATTTAATCCTAAAACAACCCTAGGAGCTAGATATGATTATTATCCTCTTTCTACAGAAGAGGAAATTATAGCTTAGTGGAAGTTAAATGTAGCGCAGTAAAGTTAAATTATTTAACTAAAGTCACAAGGCTAAGATATAGCCTAGGATTATATATTTGGGAATATAAACCTAGCCTTGTGACGTTACAGCCATAATCACCAGGCTATAATTGCCCTGTAGGTAAATTTTTATGAGTCAACAGGGAGCATGACCACCCAGATCACCCAGGGATTTCATCCTTCTGTCTTTCTGGAGGGTCTACAATGCACTGAGGAGTTTTGCACAACTACTATTTTTAAGTGGGAAAGGATAGCTGTAACAGTTATAAATTTTTAAACAGTAGCATGAAAACACACATATATAAGTAAATAAGCAGGTTTTTTAAAAACAGATTTAAAACAGGCAAGCAATCATTACAAAGGAATGTGCCTGTTTGCTGTCATGTATATGCCCCAGTGCTATGATATTTGTGATTAAGTGTTCTTACCAGCATGGATTGGCAGTTAAAATAATAGCATATGTCCCCCTTTTGTTTTTTGGAGCTTCCTCCCTGTTTCATCTAATTCTTCTATCTAAATAAAGGTTTAGCATTATCTCTGGCCATTAAAGTCAGAAAAACGTATCATTCTGAGAAAACTAATCTAAAAGATAAAGATGTTAGAAAAAAAACAACAGAGTAAATTTTAAGAGACTAGAAATTAAAAAATAATACAGATGAAAGCATCGTTGAAAACAAAAGATGTAATTAGGTACAATAAGAAATAGGTTACAGTCAACAAGATTCACAGTTAAAATAAATCTTAGCAAAATTCAGCATTTTTTGGACCTGATAAAGGTAAATGTAATATTTCATAATCAAAGGAAATATTCACCTCACCATGAATAAGGATATCTATCATTGCTGTTTTTATTCAACCTCATACTAAAAAACCTATCTAGATTATGAAAAAAAAATTGGTTTACAGGCAGGAAACAAATTACTAGGCTAAATCACATAGGACAAGAAGGTGTTTGAATACGAGATCAGTATTCAAAACTCCTTATACATACAGACACACAAATATGACAGAGAGAAAGACAGAGAGAAATTGATTTGAGGATTTAAATTTAGGCACAAAGTTTGCTCTGAAAGAATGGAAAGGCCAGGTGCGGTAGCTCATGCCTGTAAGCCTAGCACTTTAAGAAGCCAAGGCAGGCAGATCATCTGAGGTCAGGAGTTTCAGACCAGCCTGGCCAACATGGTGAAACCCCATCTCTACTAAAAATACAAAAATGAGCTGGGTGTGGTGGCGCACACTTGTAATCCTAGCTACTTGGGAAGCTGAGGGGGGATAATTACTTGAACCCAGGAGGCGGAGGTTGCAGTGAACTGAGATCATGTCACTGCATGCCAGCCTGAGCAACAGAGAGAGACTGCGTCCCACAAAAAAAATAAATAAATAAAGATGGAAAGAAATTTGGGGAGGCAAAATGGAACAAGGCTTTCATGAAAGGGAAATCATTCAAATAAAGAGAAGAGTGGAGAATTACAGGGCATATTTAGGAAACAAGGATTATACCAGCGGGTAAGGGTTTGACTCTAGGTTGATGAGTATTAGGAAAAGATTGGAAATATAATGGGAGTTCTAATAGTTTGAATATTAACCTTAAAATAAAGAATGCTATTGGGAGTTTTAAACAAGAATTTAGGTAAGAAATATTCTTGTGTCATAGAAAATTATTCTCTCTCTCTCTCTCTCTCTCTCTCTCTCTCTCTCTCTCGTTGAGTTCTAGTCAAGAAGGATATTTAATGATTATTTCGCTTGTTGAGTTCTGGGATTTTGATCTCACCAGGCTCAAGAACAGCTCCAAGCAGAGGTGCTGAGGTATAAAGCCAAAATTGAAGACCTGGAAGCAACTCTGGCTCAGAAAGGGCAGGTAGGCATTTGGTTGCTTAGCTCTTCTGCAGATGCAGACAATTTAATCTGACCTTCCTCTAGCTCACCTGTGCATGGGCCGCATCCAGGACACAGCTTGGCTCTTCACAGTGATCTTTCTCAAAATGTGTTAGAACGCTCAACTCTGTATTTCTGTCCCTGGTGTTTTTCTGGGCAGAGTATGAACCCAGCCACAACAGTGAATGAGGCTGGGCAAGAGACAGAATGCCAGAGGAAGAGGAGCCCTGTACAAATAGCCTAGAGTGGTCATGAGCTGCTAAGACCAAGACCCACCCCCCAGCTGCGTTCTCTGCCTCTATGCTACATTTCTGCATTTTAATGTTTTCCATCCATATGTATCTAGCCTGTGTGCATTCTGACCCTTTTCACTTTTTGCCTGTGTGGTCACTTCTGAGTCCCCAGAAGTCTGGTCCTGGATTATTCAAACTGGAAAAGGTAGACATAGGGAGTGATGATGAAAAGGGGGTTAAATTTTCCAGGCAACTTTGGTCTCAATGTCTTTGAAGGAGCTGGCAGGGGTGGGTGCTACTTACCAGTCTTTGGCAGGCAAACAAACAGGGTGGGGAGAAGGCAGCTCTGGCAAAGCGGTTTGACGACACAGGCTCTTTCGTGCCACTCTGAAATGCTGACTGCGCGATATTCTTTGTCAAACAGGATTCACACTGGGTAGAAGATAAACAACTTTTCATTAAGAGAAACCAGGAGCTTTTAGAAAAGGTATGTTGGGCGTAACACCCTAGTGGGGCAAAGGAGAAAATCATGAGAGATCCAGGAGCAGCAGGGGGTGCTCTCAGGAGTGGCACAGGGGCCAGGGGAAGGGGAGGCTTTTCTGGCGCTGCTCTGTCCTCGGCTGAGTGCTCAACCGCATCCCTGTCACCACCATCACCATCAGTGAAGTGGCATGTGTGCATGGCTCTGCGCTGGGCATTGTGCAGACTTGAAAGGATGTGATCCCTGAAACCTCCTGATTTGTTAACCATACATATATATACTGTGTATATATGTAAACACACACACACACACACACACACACACACACACACACACACATCCTGTGTGGTTGTCTACAAAAAAAAAAACCTCTAGGAGGGCCTGGCACAGTGGCTCATGCCTATAATCCCAGCACTTTGGGAGGCTGAGGTGGGTGGATCACCTGAGGTCAGGAATTTGTGACCAACCTGACCAACATGGTGAAACCCTGTCTCTACTAAATACAAAAAATTAGCTGGGTGTGGTGGTGTATGTCTGTAATCCCAGGTACTTGGGAGGCTGAGGCAGGAAAATCACTTGAACCCAGGAGGCAGAGGTTGCAGTAAGCCGAGATTGCGCCATTGCACTCCAACTTGGGCAACAAGAGCAAAACTCCATCTCAAAGAACAAACAAACAAACAAACAAAAATCCTCTATGAATAGAATTTGTTATTTTGTGCGAAGAAGTGATAGTGTGACTCCAAGACCATGCCAAAACCTAGCATAGACTTAGATTCTCACTTTTAGTCTTTTTATTAAGGCTGGGTCTTTCTTCTTTTTTTTTTTTTTAAAGAAAGAATTTTTTTTAGATGAATACTGTTTTTAAAGCACAAAACAGTATTCCAGGAAATTATTCAACAAATTAAGAAACTAAAACACATAGTTTAGACTTGAATAGATATAATTAATTTGGGCTGTCTGAACATAGGGACAATTAAACATAATACATTTTCAGTTCAAAGGTGGCTTTCCTTTGGCATTTACCTTCTACAAATCTAGTGAAATGTTACAAAATAATTTTTTTTTTGAGATGGAGTTTCACTCTTGTTTCCCAGGCTGGAGTGCAATGACACAGCCTCGGCTCACCGCAACCTCCACCTCCTGTGTTCAAGCAATTCTCCTGCCTCAGCCTCCCAAGTAGCTGGGATTATAGGCATGTGCCACCAAATCTGGCTAATTTAAATTACAAAATAATCTTATATTATGTTTGACAAAAACAGAATTTGAAAGCCCAATTGCGTAAGGGAAAAATAATTGTGTAGGTCAATCCAAAGTTATGCAGAAATTATTTTAGAATTGTTTCTATGAATATTTCTTATCCTTGACAAGTAATAAAAATTAACCATAATGTCTTGGCTGGTGAGCATGAGAAGGAAGAAAAAGATGCTTCTCCTACTTCCCCTCTAGTGTGGCAAAGTGAAGACATCCTATCTCATATTTTGCATGCTGTGAGACAGAGCTGATATATATGTCACATAGATGTACAGGTGATGTATATGCCATATACAGAGTGGGCAGGTATTCAAAAATTGAGAACTGGTGTTTTCGGGCAGGTTGAGGGGCCCTATAAAGAAACTTTGTTGGCATTGGTCCTGGTCTATGAATTACAGCCTGTGAGCCACTGATCTAATTGTTTCATTAACCACCAGAACCAGTAGTCTTCCCAAATACTCCACCACTGATTCAGTGGAAGATTCTAGGAAGTAGAATCTCCTTTGTAATCTAAGTTAACTTCTACAAACTTGTGAAAGTTTACTAGGCCACAAATATCAGGGGTAGAAAACTTGACTACATTAATTAATGTCATATAAGTTCTCACTATTTCCCTTTCTTTTCCTAATAGTTTCAAAGATGCCCAGAAATAAAAGTGTTATTGTATTGCTTTGTCATAAAATAAAAAGATTCCCATTATGTCTTCTATCTTGTTTCCATTAGTCTTTAAAAAAGGGGGAATTTTAAGCTCAGGCTTCTAAGAATAAAAGGATGGCAGAAATTACAATGAACCTAAATATTTAACTTCAAATGTATATATTTGGGAAAGTAAAATTCATCCTATGTTAAAAAGGCCCTGGGTTTGTATTTTTAAATTTAAGATTTTAAATATTTACTGTATGTAATGCCCACCCACACAGCTAATATTAAGGGAAGCCCAAATCCATTGTACTCATAAAGATTTTCTGAGCCCTTAAAATCCAGAGGATGACTCAGACATGAACCCTGTCTACAGGGGAAGGTGCATTAATACATAGCTTACTGAAATCCATGCTTCCTCAAGTTATACAAGAGGTCCTATAAGAAAGTCTAGAGGGAGGCCAAGTGCAGTGGCTCACCCCTGTAATCCCAGCACTTTGGGAGGTCGAGGTGGGTGGATCACCTGAGGTCAGGAGTTCAAGGCCAGCCTGACCAACATAGCGAAACCCCATCTCTACTAAAAATACAAAAAATTAGCCAGACATGGTGGCGGGCACCTGTAATCCCAACTAGTAGGGAGGCTGAGGCAGGAGAATCACTTGAACCTAGGAGGCGGAGGTTACAGTGAGCCGAGATCGTGCCATTGGACTCCAGCCTGGGCTACAAGAGCGAGACTCCATCTCAAAAAAAAAAGAAAGAAAAGAAAGAAAGTCTAGAGGAAAATAAAAGGAGAGGTGTCACTTCTGAATGGGTTGACTAGGGAAGGCTCTACGGACAGCAGAGCTTGTTTAAGCTCTATGTTTAAGAGCTTAGCTTTAAGGTGTTTAAAGAAGTATAGAATTTTCTCACATAGAAAAGGAGATGAGGTAAGTCATTTTCAGGCAGAGTAGATACAGAGTTACTGGAGTAGTCAATTCATCGGGTAGGCCACATTTTCTAGATTCTAGCGTTTGCGTGATCATGTGTGAGTGTGTTTGTACAGCAATGACAGTGATAATATTTAAAACCGTAAAGCTAGGTGGTAATCTGATTATTAAAGTTTTCGAATTCAGTGTTAAAGAGCTGGCTTTCTTCTGTAGTAATTGAAATTCGGCAAAATTTTGTATATGACGAGAGCTTCTTTTTTTTAAATTCTGTAACAAATATAACTCAAGAAATGAGAAGTATACATCCCTCTTATGTATACCATTAAATTTGGTTCCAGTAGACTGTCTCTGACCCATCACAAGGGCAAAATGAGTATTCTCAGATTCACTATTCACAGAATTCCTAGATTTTGATTCCAAGGAACAGAGACGTCTTCTGGCATTTTTCTCTATGACTCAAAAACTCAACTGAAGGATAACTAGAAGGAAAGCCAAAGATTTATTTTATTCACATCTACTTGGGAATATTTTTCATGGTCTGGAAGACTTATTCACTGAGTAAATCGAACACTATTCATGCTTGCTTTGCAAAGTTGTAGTTGCCTTTTGCAATGCTTACCTAACTTCAGGATTTACTTTATTAGATAGAAAAACAGGAGGCAGAAAATCACCGGTTACAACAGGAACTACAGGACGCCAGAGACCAGAATGAGCTGCTGGAGTTTCGAAACCTAGAGCTAGAAGTAAGGAAATAATGATGATAATAATAAAAATAATCATAACGATTAACATGCACTGAGCACATTGAGGAATTAGGGGCTAGTTAAGCATTTCAGATTCATACTCTCATTGGACCTCACAATCAGCCTCAAAATTACATAGCAGAGGCAACTGAGATTAAGTAAGTTGCCTAAGTCCTGTAACTAGTAAGTGGTGAAGCCTTGATGCAACTCCAAACTGTCTGCTTAGATACTGTGCATTTCAACACTACTATCTTTATAAACAAGACTAATAAATAATTTTTAAAAAGTTAAATAGATTTCAACCATCCTCAATATTTCATTGTTTTTAAATACTCATGTCCATCTTTCATTGAATTTTGACTCATTAATGCATATTACTTAAGAATTATTTTTCAAAATGTGCTATATATAAAAATATTTTGTAGGCAAATGTAAATTTATAGGAAAATGTTTTAGTCTCTAATGCATTTCTGGAAGAATCAAGGTAACTTGCCTTAGAAATATTAATCTGACCAAATTTCAGGTCAGACTAGGAAATGTCTTTGTTAATCTGACAAAATTTCAAAGGTGTTCCTTTTTATTTTGAAACTAAAACATAGAAACATCAGATTTTGAGTGTATCCTGCAAAATCTGACTTAGGATCTGGTTCAGTGTATGTCGATATATAAAGGTATAAGAAAAATTCCCATTTGACTTCAGTTATTTTGCCAGTTATTTCTCCTAAAGGTTATTTCAAATTAGGTCTGGATAAAAAGTTAGGTGTTAGTAGGTTTCAGTGAGGAAAAGTCATTCTTTTGTGGCCCACATATCTTACTTATAAAGCTTGAATAGATTGAATATGCAAAAGGCTGTTAGGGGCCATAAAACTTCATGGCAAGACCACAGTATGATATTTGAAAACTCTAAATATTCATACAGCTTAAACTGGAGCTCCACTTCCTGCATTTCCCTGATCAAAAAATTTGCAAGAATGGATGCCACTATCTGTAAATTCTTCTTCTCAATCTCTTAGTTGACTAGTCAGTTTTTTCCATTACATTTAATCATGAGCATCTTGAGTTTGAATTTTTTTCTTTTTGCCAAATTACATTAATAAACTGTTGAAATAGCATAAAGAGACAACTGGTTTAGTGTTTAATCAGTTTTTTTTAATTTCCACATATTCTTCACTGAATTTCAAGGAGAGAGAGAGACGATCCCCTCCATTTAATCTCCAAATTCACCCATTCTCAGATGGTGTGAGTGCTCTACAGATCTACTGTATGAAAGAAGGTGTTAAGGTAGGCAGATATTTAATTTTTTATGTTTTTAGAAATTAGAAAAACTGGGAATTGGAGAAGGGGAGGTTGCTCATGACTATTTTGTCTTTTAGTCACTGCATGTCATCACTTTGTTACAAACTATGTAGTAATTGAAAACAGTCACATCTACTAGAAAATTAATAGAATTTTTTAATGTGGTGACAGATGTCTAAATGATAACAGTAAAAAACACAGGCATCCATGATTATTTAGAACAGCGTCATACAAATAAAAATGCAGAATCAAAATTAGCCTTAATTACCTGGGAGAAATGTGAAATCAACTTAATGCTTCAAGAAATATATTTCTAGTGTGTCAGATAAAAAAGTTTGATTCCCTTTGTGGAGCCATTCTAGGTGCTATGGAATTCAGAATCATGGAATTGCAAAGTTAGAAGAGGCTTTGAAGTCATCTAGTCCACCATCTCTTTTGATGTGTTTAATTTAGGGAGGATTCCTCTTTTGGAAGGGCTTAGGGTTTATAACAGGTTGCATATTAAATAGAATATAATTCTCTTTTTAGTGCTACTGGATACGTTTTAAACATTAGAGTTGAACTGAGGTGGCTCTGTCCCTGGGGAAATATATTGTCCTTAAGTGTAGTAAAATCACACTGTGAATATTGTTCCTTGGGTAAAGCTGAGATGCTACCTGCTATTTCTGGTCTCTCCTTACCTTCCGCATGACCTCCCTGCTCCCATTCTGAGCTGCCAAATATACTTGCTTCAGTTGCTTTCTCTCTACTTATGAGATTGAGCTAGGCTTTCCCTTTCCTGGTGGGAGGGCTCTACTGTACTGCTGTTTGAACATGAGTAAGAGGACAATGCGGTACTAATAAGGTAAAAAGTGGGAAAGAACTTGGGTAGTAAAATTGTGCTTCCTTCTCTTCCATCTTAAACCATTGTGCTGGTGTTTAAATTTCTGGTCTTCCTGGGCAGGATGGTAATTTGTAAACCAAAGCAATTTTTTTTTATTTCACTGTAATTAAATGAAAACAATTTACTTTGCCTTTTCCGTCAGTGCTTTTCTTCTCAGATAAATCACGAACAACCTAATCCAATGAACTCTTTCATATGGAGTTCAGCTGCTTCAAACTGACTCAAGGCACAGGGTAAAAATAAAACAGATGAAATTAATGCAAGGTAGCTTTAAAAACTGGGGGACTGCACTGTAGTTTTCTACATGGCAGTCAAAATTCAATCAGGTCAGAATTTTTCTAATTAGAATGACATTGGTTGATTCTTTATATTTATTACCTATTACTATTTTATACCTGAAAGTTATCATAATTAAAAAAAAAGGTTTGGCAGTCATGAGAAGAAAGTTAATGAGAATATTCTAAGTCCTTACTACGTGCTAGACTCTTTTATACATAGTCTCCTTATCCTGGAGATCAATTCAGCCTATGAAGTAGGTGCTTATTATCTCTGTTTTGCAACTAGCAAAATAAAGAATGATCTGTTAAGTACCTGGCCCAAGTTCACACAGCATGTACGAGGCAAAATTGAAACTTAAAAGTAGATGTGCCAGATTGAAAACATGCCAAGGAATTTCAGGCCCTAAAATGTGTTTCTCTAACTTTGTGTTCAGACAGTGATGGAATAGTAGGCCACATTTGCCTTTGACATGAGTTTCTGCTTAATTTTGCAGGATGTGAACATCCCTGATCTCATAAAGCAGCTTGATATCTTGGGTGATAATGGGGTAAGTAAAGAATTGATTAAGCATAGTATAGATGTGAATTTGCCTAAACAGAGGCAAGAAATACTTAACAATGCATCATGTGTAAAGTAGGAGCAAGTGAGATGCCATGCTCACTTAAGGATGTTGCTCCTTGGGAAGAATCTACAATTTATTAAACAACTTGGCTAAGGGGTTGTAAGGATCTCTGGAAAGTATCAGCAGAAATGAGACCTGGTAAAGTGCTTTTCATGGGCAGGTTTCAGGTTTGAATGCTGACCACATCTCCAGTGACTAAAGCTAATTACTGTCTGACTCCAGCTCAAAGGCATCCAGTGTGAAATTAATCAGTCATGCATTTGCAAAGGCTGCCAAATACTAGGGTTGTTGGCAGCTCCATAAAAATGGACCAGAAAGCTATAATCCATTTTCTTTCTAAAAACACCTTCCAGACAGAGTCAAGGCACATTAATTCAGTGGGAGGACCATTTATTGTGATACTAGGTGAATGGTGTTTGTAGGTTGAAGGAGTCACTGCTTTTCCCTTGAAAAAATATCAAAGGAGAGAACAGAATTAGTAAAATTACATCAAAACTACTACGAAGAGACTGTTCTTTATTCCATTTTGGTTTCTGTTTTTCTCATAACATGACTATTAATAAAATATGCCTCCAGTGACATGAATCAAGCCAGTGTTAGGAGATATTTTTAAAAATCACATTTAGTATGCTTCGTTCGGGTTTTGATTAACTCTTTGTTAAGAATTATTACTTAACAGGATAGGAATTTATTAAGGTTCTATACAGGCTTATACACTATGTTCTGAGGCAGTCAGTCAGACAGTATTTTCTTTAGGGTAAAATAATATCAGTGTCTTCAGCGTATGGCCTTTCTTATTTTTTACAGAATTTAAGAAATGAAGAACAAGTGGCTATCATTCAGGCCAGCACTGTGCTGTCCCTGGCAGAGAAGGTAATGAGTCGTACAAACATTTCAAATCATCTCTGTGTCTGGCTTAATCCTGAATGAGCAGGATAGGGTGTGAAGGGCATTCCCTTTGCACACTTAGTGTGTGAATACGTACTACACATTTTATTTTTAAGAGTAGTACAACCCAGATAAAATGAGAACACCCAAAAGAAAAGTCTGTACACTGATTTGGAGTGGGTGAATAATTTTTGCTTTGAAGTTCCTTAAAAATATGTACAATTCTTTAAAAACAGAAAACCTTCTGCATTACATTATTTGCACAATCCTTACAAAGCTGGGAAACCAACAAAGAAGAGTTTTGTGGGGCGGTGGTAAACTGGAGCATTGCTCTTGTCATAGACTTTTCCTCGAGTGTGTTCATACCAATTGCTTCCAACTGATCCTGTGGCTTAATAGTGGCTCATTGCTGTCTCATTCAGAAAGCTTGACAGAGACTGTCAGGAGATAATCAACACTGAGTGTGCTCTGGCTCCATCTTGTGTCTAAACCTGGTAAATGGCCAGATAAATTGGTGTTTTCGGAGTACTTTGCAAATCAAAGCACAAAGTCTGGCAGGGTGGCATGTGCCTTTAGTCCTAGCTACTTAGGAGGCTGAGGGAGGAGGCTCACTTGAGTCTAGGAGTTTGGGACTGTAGTGTGCTATGATCACGCCCATGAGTAGCCACTGTACTTCAGCCTGGGCAACATAGTGAGACTCTTATCTCCTTTGAAAAAAAAGTACCAGTAAATAGTTGAGAGTCATGTGCACATGGTTGGATAACATGAGAGCAAGCAGTCAGCTTTATCCAATCTGAAATGAGGGAATTCTACAGGTCAAATGACAGTTTAGCTACTCAAACAAAAGAATGACAGAAAGAAAAAACAGGGAGAAAAAGAAGTATAGCTATGAAATAAAAAGACACTTCAGAATAATTGAAATGGTTCTCTTTTGGATCCTAATTTAAGCAAACCAGGTGTTTTTAAAAAAGGACTTTTTGTTGACAACTGGAGAAATTTAATGTGGACTGGGTATCAGATGACAAAAGTCATTAATGTTAATTTCGTAAAGTGTACAAATAACCTTGTGGGTTTTTTTTTTTTAAACAGAAAGGCCTTATCTGTTAGGGATACATATTGAAGTATTTACATGTGAAGTAACATGAAAGCTGGGATTTCTTCTTTTGAAAAAACTTACTTCCTTCACAGTTTAATTACAGAACTGATCACTTTCTCTAATCTTTCCCCAGCAAATTGATAATGCTGCATGATCTTTAACAGAAGGTCCAAATTTAGAATTTGGCACAAAGATCCTCTGGGATTTGAGCCTTATCTATCTATTTCTCTAGTGTCTCCTCTCCCTTTTCTCTCTCTCCATTCTCTCTCTGTCTCTCTCCATTCTCCACTCTTGGTCCTTTACCCTGCCCTTTCTACCTGGAAGATATTCCCACCTTGCCTTTCTGCCTCTGCCTGGCTAAATCTTAATCATCAGACCTTCACACATAAGGAAGCCTGACTATTCACCCAAGACCCCTTAGGTGTTCCCGCTGTATGTTCCCACAGTGGCCTGTGCTTCTGCCCCCGCGGCTTTTAACAATTGCATTGCACTGTCCACTGCATTTGTCATATCTCCCCATCTAACTACCACTAGACTCTAAGGCCCATGAGGGCAAATAGTTGTGTCTCCCCACACCCCACCCCTTGTTTTTTGCCCTAGCTTTTCACACCAGTCCAGCACATATACTGGGTGATGAATACATGTTAACCGAAGGAGTAAAGTGAATTTGTGAATGCTCACAAGACACTATTTCAGTGACAACGCAAAGATGAAAGAAACAGTCTGTGCCTCCGGTGCTGCTATTAACTGGCACTGATAGCCAGAGAGCCTCATGCAGTTGGAATCATGAAGGGCTGCAATTCTTTACTGAATGAAAAAAATCTCCTTGGTTTAGGGCTACATACAAAACATAGGGCTGATTCTATGGAAGATGAGAACTGAGGAGGTGAAAGAAAGGAAATACAGCCTTGTGTGTCTCACATTTTCGGAGATTGATGGGAGAAATATCTTCTGCTCCCTGCCCTGTGTGGGTGCAGTACAACTGTACTTATCAGAACCAACACTTGTGCTGTGCTCCTTTTGAGATAGGCACTTTCTAACTGCTGAAGACTAGGTACTATGTGACCTTTATTTCACACAAGGAATCTGAAGCACAAAAAAGGTAGAAAACTGCCTAAGGTAATATAGCTTGAAGTTGATGGAGTCAGGATTCATACCCAAGTAGTCTGGTTCTAAAGTCCATGATCTTAACTCTTGCACCAAACTCCCTCCTGCAGGAAATAGGTTTTATAGACCCCATGGGAGCTGGGCTATCAGAGCTGTGGCAAATTAGCCCATGCCTCTGCTTACCTTTTTTGCAAGACAGGTATAAGGCTCAGTTGAACAAATACAGGGTGATGACATTGTGCTTAGCTTTGTGGTAGAAAGCTAGGAACCAGATGAACAAGACGCAAGCCTGCCCTGGAGTGCTCACGGTCTGTTCAACTGCCTTTTGTGCAGACTTTTGCAATGCACAGATTAGAGTTACCTCCAGTCTGTGGGGTTCACAGATAATTAGTTTCTACTTCCAAGTAATTCCAAACATCGACAATGAATTTTTTGAGATGATCAATATGAATAGCACTCTATTCATATTGAGCGGAGATTGTGCCATTGCACTCCAGTTTGGGCAACAGAGCAAGACTCCAAGTATGATCTTTAGTCAGAGCTTGAGCCTAGACAAAATTCCAACAAGCAAACTCAAATGTCAATTTGTATTAAAAATAATGGCAGTGACCTTGAGTAAGAACTTATTTGGAGCTAGATACCACACTAAATGCCATAAGTACATTATCCCACCATTCCTTACAACCATTCTACAGGTGCCACCATTTTTTAATTTGTATAAATTTAAGGAGTACAAGTGTACTTTTATTACATAGATACATTGTGTAGTGGTGAAGTCTTGGCTCTTAGTGTATCCACCACCCAAATAATGTACATTGAGGTACCATTGTTTTTATTTTATACATGAGGAAACCAAGGCTTGGAATATTCAGTAACTTGTCCTGGATTACACAAGTAGGAAGGAACAGCAACCAACCAACAAATGTATATCTAACGCTCATGATTTAATGACTTTAGTTTACAGTAATCTTAAAAACATACTTTTTAAAAAATGTTTTTCGACAACAAATGGGCAGCAAGCAAGATGAAGGATTTTGGATGGATACAATTGCAATATGAATCTATTTACACAATACCCATGACTGGCTGCAATTTATTTCAAGGGGAAGCCATGTGTCTGTACAAAGAACTGATGGATTAGCACCTCTCCAGTCTCAGCATGCTTTCTTTTCTTTCACCATGTTCCCCACAGCCAAAGAGTGGTTGAACATGGTATCCCCTTGTAAGTATCAAGGCTGTAATGCATAGAAATGCTCACTGTGCTGCATAGTTTATCACAGGTAAACTAAAAAAAAATGTCTGGGACCAGGCGCAGTGGCTCACACCTGTAATCCTGGCACTTTGGGTGGCCAAAGTGGGTGGATTGCCTGAGCTCAGGAGTTTGAGACCAGCCTGGGGAACACAATGAAACCCCGTCTCTACTAAAACTACAAAAAAAGTAGCCAGGCATGGAGGTGTGCACCTATAATCCCAGCTTCTCAGGAGGCTGAGACAGGAGAATCGCTTCACTCTGGGAGGCCGAGGTTGCAGTGAGCGGAGATTGTGCCATTGCACTCCAGTTTGGGCAACAGAGCAAGACTCCATCTCAAAAAAAAAGAAAGAAAGAAAAAGAAAAAAGAAATATATGGTAGTGAGATCCCACTAGTACATGCAATACACGATGGATAGTGCCTCATTTATTTCCTTAATATTTACATTATTATTAATCTTATTTGATAGATAAGAAACTTGAGACTTAGAGAAATCAGGTAACCTTTCCATGCCACCCACTCATGAAAAGCTGGAATTGAAATTATGGCCAAGGTAGTCTGCCTTCAGAACCCACTTACTTAATTATTATGCCCAGTTGCTTCCCTAAAATATAAGCTGGCATTTAATTTTTTATATTTAAAAATGTGTATGGTAAGGTCACTTCATATTATTCAAAGTCTGCATTCAGGGTGTTTATCAATGCTAACATAAATATATATCCTGGGTACTGGGAAAGATAAGTTTTTATGTGATTTAAAATACCTCCACTTAACAAAAATAATTCCTCCCCACTCTGCTGTTACCAGGTTTTTGTTTTGTTTTGTTTTGTTTTGAGACAAAGTCTCACTTTGCCACCAGGCTAGAGTACAGTGGCGCAATCTCAGCTCACTGCAACCTCCACCTCCTGGGTTCAAGCAATTCTCCTGCCTCAGCCTCCCGAGAAGCTGAGACTACAAGCATGTGCTACCATTCCCAGCTAACTTTTGTATTTTTTAGTGGATACGGTGTTTCACCATGTTGGCCAGGATGGTCTCGGTCTCTTGACCTTGTGATCCACTCGCCTTGGCCTCCCAAAATGCTAGAATTACAGGCATGAACTACCACACCCAGCCTGTAATTAGTTTTTTGTACTGAAAAATTACCATCGTCCCAATTCTCCAGTGTACCTGGCCTTCTTTCTCTCATCCTGCTTCCTCCAACAACAGAGCTAATGGACATGATGTCCCTTCTACTTGGAACTTCTTCATTTTTTCCCAGTCATTCACCCATTCTTTGGACTCCAGTGCAATTAACACTTACGAGAAAGACTCCCATGGTATTCTCCAGTAGGGGCAGAAGTCTTGTTGCTCTTGTTCACCATTGCAGCCCTAGGACTTGGTACAGCACCTGATACTTGCCAGGTGCTATAAATGCATTTGTTGAATGGGTGAGTGAATGAATACAAGGAAGACCGTAGTCTGCTTCTGAACTATGAAATAAAAATGTGTTGTTTTTGCTTCAGTTCTCAGTCCGCTTCCTAAGATATAAGGGGAAGGGACTGAGCACTTCGGGGGGGCACACAAATATACACCACGTCAAGCAGTCATGTCAAACACTTTTGTCTTGTTAACTCCTTAGTGGATTCAGCAGATTGAAGGAGCAGAGGCTGCCCTACACCAGAAAATGATGGAATTGGAAAGTGACATGGTAAGTACAAAGATGAGGTATTATAAAAATTAAGAAAAGTTTACAAGGCAAAGGGAAAATTAACATTGCCTCTACCAGTTTTATCTGGCATTGATGAAAGTTTGTCGTCTTTCCATTATTTTATATACAGAACATGGAAAAGAATTACCAGAAGTACCAAGCAATTTCAAGCTATGTTCTCCCCCAAAAGTGTTAGCTTTCCAAAAATATCCAAAACTAATGCTGAAGTAAATTGAATTTTCTTATGTTTTCTTTCTTAGGCTCAGTAATTTTTCCACTGTATTTAATTAACAAGTAAAAACTACAGAAATAGAGGGTGCAACTCTGATTTTAAAAATCCCTAAGCCACCTTACATTCATTAGAATAGCAAAAAAAAAAAAAAAAAGCCCTAGAAAAAAGACCTAGTGCAGTGGCTTACACCTGTAATCCCAGCAATTTGGGAGGTTACGACAGGAAGAGTGCTTGAATGCAAGAGTTTGAGCCCAGCCTGGGCAACATAGTGAGAACCCATCTCTGCAAAACCTAAAAAATAATTAGCAGGCATAGTGGTAAGTATGTGTGGTCCCAGCTACTCGGCAGAGCGTGCGGGGAGGGGGGGTGTGACGCAATAGGATCATTTGAGCCCAGGACAGGGAGGCTGCAGTGAGCTATTTTCGTGCCACTGCATTCCAGCCTGGACAACAGAGGAAGACTCTGTGTTCCCACAATCAAAAAGATAAAACAAGTATTGGCAAAGAGAAAGGGAAATTCAAACCCTTCTTCACTATTGATGGGAATGCAAAACTTGTATATCTACTATGAAAAATAGTATGGTGATTGCTCAAAAAAAATCAGAATAGAATTGCTATATGGTTCAGCAATAGTACTTCTGGGTGTGTATTCAAAAGAACTGAAGCTGGAGTCTGGAAGAGATACTTATACACCATGTTCATAGCAACATTATTAACAATAGCCAAAAGGTAGAAGTAACCTAAATGTCCATCAACAGGTGAACAGATAAACAAAAGGTACAGTATACATATCATGGAATATCATTTAGCCTTCAAAACGATGGAAGTTTTGATACAAGTTACAATATGGATGTACTTTCAGGACACTATGTTAAGTAAAACAAGCTAGTCACAGAATGATAAATACTATATGAATCCACTCATGTGAGTTGCCAGATTAATCAAACTTAGAAACAGGCAGTAGACTGTGGTTGCCAGGAGGTAAGAAGAGGAAATGTAGCATTGTTGTTTCATTCGTATAGTTTCAGTTTTGCAACATGAAAAATACAGTACATTGGTTGCATAACAATGTGAATACACTTTGTACTTCTGAATTGTACACTTAAAACCGGGTTAAAAATGAGTAAGGTTATAAATGTTACGTGCATTTTACCACAGTTTAATAAGTTTCCTTTTACTCACCAAGTCTAAATATTGGTTAGTATTAACTTACAGCAATGCATAGAAATTTATAACAAGATTCAGCTGGGCACAGTGGCTCACACCTGTAATCCCAGCATTTTGGGAGGCCGAGGCGGGCAGATCACCTGAGGAGTTTCAGACCAGCCTGACCAACATGGAGAAACCCCGTCTCTACTAAAAATACAGAATTAGCAGGGTGTGGTGGCGCATGCCGGTAATCCCAGCTAGTCAGGAGGCTGAGGCAGGAGGATCACTTGAACTCAGGAGATGGAAGTTGCAGCGAGCTGAGATCACACTATTGCACTCCAGCCTGGGCAACAAGAGCATATCTCCGTCTCAAAAAAGAAGAAATAAATGTATAACAAGATATCATTAATGTTATCATTAACTAGAAAATATGAGTGAATTACTATTGGGTAAAGGAATCCTAAAA